ATTACCCATTGGTTTATTCACACATACCTAAACAGTGAGGTATCATGAGAACCCAAAAATCCAAACTTAACCTTTCTACCTTTCTATTTATCCCCTAGTCCGGGTGAACTCACCCTTAGACCTGGCCGTTTGAGGTGGGCAATCGCCCACGTGCACTTCCACGCCCTCCTCGATCGCCTAAGGCGGGCGGTGTATCACTCACCTTGTTGAATATTTACTAAAGAAACTGCCTACTTTGCAATATGTTATTACTTTCATTAATTGTTGGAAATCTGATTTTTGTTAGTCGTGCTTTTTAAAACCCTCTTTAATTTAGTCAAAACATATGCATTTTCTTTTTACATATGCTTGAAAGCATTTTTTTGTTTTGAAAAAATTGCCTGCCTGATAGCAACGTGGAGGGCAAATTACTGCCTGCTTGCTCAAATTCTTATGGCCAGGCCTGACCCTGTACCCCCACTTTTATTAACACTTTATGCCAACTTATAGAAAATGCGACATTAAGAACTCCGGCTGTGTGTTGTGGACATGGCAGTGATATGCAGCAGATATTTTCATCATTTTGCAGTTAATAAGGCATAGCAGCTGCACCTGTGTAGTTTATGACTACTTCTAATGCTCCATAAGATTGTGATGTCCATTTCCCTCTACCTCTGTGCATTGCCCTCAATAACATTAATGCAAAAACTTTCCTAACCTGTAGATCCCCACCCTATCACTGTTTTTTCTCTATTGGGGACTCTGTACCTAGGGCCCTACCCATTTGCCATGGATTTACTCTTCACAGTGATGTATTCTCTTCATTTCTGCTCATATCATTTACTTTAGCAGATTATTTCATGTATTTTGCAGATGTAAGGCAGTTACAAAATATGATTAACAAAGGAATTTATCATATTAGAGTTTACAGATCCAATTAATCTCTTTTCCTAAGTTATATGTGGAAATTATCCTGACACTACAAGCCAACACATATATCCTGAAAGAACCAACACAGAGTTTGATGGTCTACATAACTTACAACATCATAGCTACACTTTTAATCTTATTAGTGATAATAATTGTGATCCACCACATACAATCTGACAAGATGGAACTTTTAGGTCTCCTGATGAAGTGTATTCAAATAAGGTGTACTGGTTCAGGTTTATTTTCCCAGAACAAATATGGTTGATATTGTTAGCCTTTGCCAAAGGGGAAAGCATAATTATGCCATTGTTTGATGTGCGCCTATTTTGTTAATTATCGTGTACTTAGTGTGACCAGAATTATCTAAGGTTGCATCCTTTCCTGTGTTAAATTTACTATATTTACTTCTGTTTTCAGAACATGTATCATAAAGATGTAAAAAGGGCAGATTATCCACTAATTAAGTACAGTCACTGATAAAACTGTTGCTTGTCTGCCAGGTGTTGCAGGAGGGCCAGTGGCATAGGATAACAAAGTCACAATTTATCTCTATATATAATTTATAATTTAATTTATATTTTTCTATTTCTATCAAAGTTTACTGTTAGTCACACATTGATATATTACATTTAATTGGTTTTGTATAACTTATTACAACTAGATAAATAAGAAGACTGTAAACCACAAAAAATACAATATTCTGTTACATAGGCCTATCTATACCAACACTATGCTACATTGTATTCTTTAGTGCTTTTGGAAACATAATTTAGGGATGTGGCTTTTTACCATATATAAAATAAGGAGACTATAGGTATAAAATAAAATAGGTGTATTCTGTATTAAATATTTTTTCCCTGGATTCTTTTCAATCCAAAACCAAATGAGTCCAGTATGCATCCAGTTTTTGTCTGTAGAGTGAAATTATGTTTTCCGAGTATGCACTTTAGATTGAAGCAGACTCACTTCAGAACTTGTTTAAGAATGCTTCATTATGTGTAACCATCTCACTTTCCCTCTTCTAGTTGACATAGCATATCACTATTTTTTTTTTTTCTTCTTATTTCAGGCAAAATATGATTACAAACATACAGGACATTGACAAGTTACGATCTGCTGTTCAGGATGTCCATGTGCCTCTTGAAGTTTTTGAGTAAGTATGAGCAAATGTTCAATCTTATCTGGCAGTTTGAGAAAATGATATTTAGTTCAGGCATGGCGGTAAGAAAGTTGTTGTTAGTGTACTTTTTTTTGGTATGAAAATATATTCAACAAAAAAAATTGTATAATGAAAGTATTTTTAAGATATATTTGTTTTTTAACAGATACATTGATGGAGGGAGAAACCCACAGCTGTACACGAAAGATTGTATGGAGAAAGCACTTACCAAAAATGAACAGGTAAATACTTCGTCCATATGTCTGTTTCTGCATCTTCATTTACTTTGATATTGATATATATTAGACTTTGTTGCTAACTGAGATTATCAGAAACTGAATAACTATACTCTGTTCTGATATGAAGAGATTTCATATATAGTCTTTGAATCTAATATGAATCTAATTTAGTATTCAGTAAGGGTCAAGCTCT